CAGTACAATTCATTGTGTACACATCCACTCGTGATTTCATTCGTGAGCATTCTTTTCACTGAGTTGCTGAACGAACGCTGCACCAATGCCAACAATATACCACACGTCTAGAGGAGTCCTTTTTTGTTTAATGCGTAATCATCACGTTCGTTCCGTTCACCCGTCTAATATACAATCTGCTCTTATCTGCCGCAAATAATGATGTAATTCAATGCGGTCACGTTCACTCGAACCAATAAGATAAATTGCATTCCTTAATCGGTGATGTGCCTAGATTTATCATTTCGTCTAAGCCGGCAGACACCCATTACGGTAACACCACCATTCACTTGTTCCGACTACATTCCAACGATACTTTTTCATCGATCATAAATTTAATTCCATAACATTTCATTTTGTTTTCTGTTTAATATGTTAATCACTCATTTCGATGTAATTTATAAGTGAGAATTATCGCATTATCATATTGATTAGGTGCATTCAGTAATTATATGACAAGATTAAAAATACCTTTTGAACACACTGCTCACTACCTTTGAGAACAGAGGACGTATCTTTTAAAGACCGTCACTTTCTAAGTTTCATGCTCGAATTTCGCATGAAACTCCATGAAGCGATAATTTGTGGATTGCATGAGGCAATAATGTATTGCCGATTAAACGCTGTCATAAATAATTGCTTAATTGCGGAGCGCCACGAACCAGCCCATTAGAGGCGTTTACTGTCGCGTTATGCGAGCAAAAATCAACTTTCATTGCATTTTTAGTCTCGAATTGTTTGATGCTAATCGCTATTGTCCGCACACTTTAGTCTGCGCTCAGTGTTCTGCTGCAATTTGTGCCATGTGTCACGTTTGATACGGCCACATCATCTTCATGATTTTCATACCACAATCATTGTTTTCCGAATCAGTTCAGCCAGAAAATAGCTACTAGCCATACTCATTAATGCAGTGCACTTTTCGAAAAATTCTAGTTTTGTTAAATTCAACGTCTTTGACTGGCATAACTATGTGACAGTTTTGGATCACCATTCAAATAATTCAAACGCTTTTACAGTCAGCGAATGTGTTCATTCTGAAACTGTTCATGCTTTATAAGAGCTAGTTTCGTACAAGTTTGTTCGGACCACATGCAGTGGATGTTTGCAGTGAAAACATCGCTGATTGCCTGGAGGATTGATTCTCTTTCGATTGTTGCTTAAGCCGATGAATTGTGATGATAATATTTCGGTGATGATCAATAAGTATATCATTATTTGGATTGCTATTGGGTGGTATTTTAATGAGCATAGTTAGGAAATAATGAGCATAGTTAAGAAAAAAACTAAAGCATGATTGTATGTTAAAGTAAAGTATGTGGTAGAGATGAACGAAGCTGGTTATTGGCGGCGATTGTTTAGAGGTTTGTTAGTGGTTACTAGTTAGTGCGTTTGTTTCATGAAGGCAACTCACCTAATTAGTTTTGTCGCATCGATGCACAGAACACTTCTTTCGGAGATTCGAATGGAAGCAGTTTGTATGGTGAACATTTCACTAGTGTTCCTTTATTCAATTACCGATTGATCAATAATGCTCACTTCTCAGTTGGATATTCACTGAGGATCGGTGCGATTGAACAATGGGGCATTCTGTTCGATGCAACAAACCAATTCTTCGGTTCGAGGGATGCATGGAAAGCGTGTGAATCAAATGGGAAGAAAGCATTCCATTCGTTACAGGCTGACAAACTTTACGATCGATCGAATAGACATTACCTAAAATTTAGATTGTTATTGAATATTTAGAAATATCATGGATTAAAGGCGGTGGCCCACTAGAGTGATTGAATGCTTTGGTGCTTAGCCCATTGTTTAACGGTTTGTTTTGAAGTAATTATGAGTTGTAGCATTCTACTGCACAGTGAACTCTTGAAGTACTGCACTCGAGTGCGATTTTTTGTAGTCAAATGTTTTGCTTTGCAATAGTCTTGTGGAATACCGAAACATTGGTGAGGGGAATGAAGAGATGATCGAATAACGCTCATGAATTATGTCATCTCGTTCTTTCGCCATTAACGCATCACAGCTTCTCTGCATAAGTCTCGTTCACACGTCACTGTGCTAGTATAATTTATCACTCCCTTCAGATCAACCACTTTCATCGATGGATATCTAACACATCTTCAAAGCCAACGCAAAACCTTCCCTAATTTGCCGAATTGCGCATTACTCCTTGAGCGTTGTTTAGATATCACCAATTGCAACTTCTCATACCAGCATATAACTGAACTAAACTATTTTGCTCTTAACTCCTCATTTTGATTCATCGATGTTTCATCGTCTATTATCACATCTCAACTTTGTCATTAGCATCATTTGCTTATTGTAATTATTTCTCGACGCACCAAAAATGCTATATTTCACGAGCTTTTATTCGGACGTTCAAATGCTTTGTTGCGTTGATGAGGATACGTGATTGATTTGTTTGTATGAATGATCGCTGAATTTTGCAGCGGATCACGTTCTGTTACGGTTAGCCGATTTCGCAGACGACCCACCAATCTTTATAACGGTTCGAACTCGGACACGAGAAGGTGCAGTGTCTAGTGACTCGAACGTCTCGCGAGTGCCACGTGGAATCTCACTGAATCTGCCTTCAAGCACCATTCAGCGCCCCACTCCCCTTGATCTCCCCACTCAAATGTCGGTGCCCTCATCGATGGTACAATCGTTGGGACCGCTGGCATTACCCGGTGCTACAGCCCAACCAACAGCCGGTCTTTTGCAAACTGCACCTACCACAGCAACCATGGGCACTCTTGCAGATCCAGCAACTGCCCTCTCGTTAGCCCAATCCGCCTATACGGGGGCTATCCCGATGGGAAGTGCTCAAGCTGCAACCGTCATGCCTGGAATGCAAGTTGCCTCGCTTCAAGGTTTCGTTT